GCGTCAGCCTAGCTCACAGCAACCTCGAACTCCTGGGCTAAAGCAATCCTCCTGCCTCAGCCTCCTGAGTAGCTGGGACTACAGGCAGGCACCACCATGCCTGGCTGATTTTTTTCTATATATTTTTTTAGTTAGCCAATTAATTTCTTTCTATTTTTAGTAGAGATGGGATCTCGCTCTTGCTCAGGCTGGTTTCAAACTCCTGACCTTGAGCAATCCTCCCTCCTCGGCCTCCCTGAGTGCTAGGATCACAGGCGTGAGCCACCGCGCCGCGCCAAGCCTCACATTTTTAAATCTCTCCTATTTCAAAGTCAATTGATCTGGGCAATGATGCTGAGTTGAAATCACAGACCTGCCCATTGCCCCAGAGACGCCCTCTCCTGGGCCAGGGGCCTTCCATCAAGTTCTCTCCCTGAATACCACAGAGGCTACTTGAGGGTAGCATTCCTAGAGGCCAGGGCCCTCATAACCTACCTGTCTGCCATGGACTTCCCTTTCACGTCTAGGTGCTCACCAGGTCATAGTTCCCAATAAGTACACACAGAAAACATGCCCATTCTCTTCTTCCCACTCATCAAAAATAAACCCAAGCGGCACCCAGATTTAGAACACACCTACCCATGAAAAGTAAAAATGAAGAGGGGGAGGCACTCACCCACATCATCTTTCCATTCAAGGAGGCCCTATTCCACAGCTGCTGTGGAGTTTATAATTAACAGACAAGCTTACCCAACAACAGAAATTTCTGGAATCTCTTGTAATTTACACTGGAGTCTAGCTTATTCCAAATTTAGATCACAAGCGCGGGCTAGATTCCATAGCTGAATCTGAAAGCCTTCTTGGCACACCTCTAGCTTGGGTTTCTTGCGATCACTCAGCACTGCCTGGGGACAGCGGCTGCAGGATGACTAAGGCGCTGGCTGACCCAGCGTGCAGGCAGACGCAGAGTGGCTGCCACAGTATGACATCAACGGGCCACCAAAACCTACCCTTGGCTCCATGGAGCTGTGTCAGGAGGCTCCGCTGGAGAGATGTCAAGATTGCACTCAGATGTACTTTGCCTTCAACCAATCTCTGCTGTCGCTGTTCTGCAAGGTTTCTGTTTCCTTTCCCACCTGCCACCCCAGAGGGAGTCCTCTCACCCCAGCTTCCACGACAAAGGAGTGCAGCGAGGCATGTCTGAGTGCCAGGCTCTGCCTGTCAGAGCGCTGAGCCACAGGGAAGACAGGCGACGAGGGAGGAGGAGGGCAGCCTTCACGGGCTGCACGCAGCTTTGTGAGTCTTCTACTCTACCGAGAACTACAATTCTACCTAGCACTCTGGGAGGCCGAGGTGGGTGGATCCTTTGAGCTCAGGAGTTCGAGGCCAGCCTGAGCAAGAGCGAGACCCCGTCTCTACTAAAAAATAGAAAGAAATTAGCTGGACAACTTTAAAAATAAATAAATAAATATACACAAAATATATATAAATATATATATTTATAATATATAAATATATTATAAATATATAAATATATTAAATATACATAAATATATATTATATATTTATAATATATAATTATATATAAAATATAATATATAATTATATAAATATATGTAAAATATATATACAAAAATAAATATATATATACAAGTTATATATATATAAAAAATAAAATTAGCTGGGCATGGTGGCACACGCCTGTAGTCCCAGCTACTCCCAGGAGGCTGAGGCAGGAGGATCGCCTGAGCCCAGGAGTTTGAGGTTGCTGTGAGCGAGGCTGACGCCACGGCACTCTAGCCTGGGTGACAGAGTGAGACTCTGTCTCAAAAAAAAAACAAAAAACTACAATCCTAGAACACGAAGTCTCCTCCTTTTATATAGAAAAGGGAAGTGAGGCTCAGAAATAGGAAGAAACTTGCCCAGGCCCCACTATTACTTCCTGGTGGCTAAAGGACTAGGTCCCAGTTCTCAAACTCCCAGCCCAGGCGTGTTTCCCCGTCACTGTAGAGACAGGGCCAGGCTGTCCAGAGGGTGGTGAAACTGCACAGCAGCGTGACTGGTGAGGCGCGACGTGAAACCGCCAGACACCACGTGAGACACTCACGCAGACTGCCTGCACCTGTGAACGAGCAGGTAGAATCCCCATTTTAGGTCAGACAGGGTAATGCATCTGACTAGGCTTATCTGACTCCAGAGCTCACCCCAACCTTGCTGTCTCTACAGTACTAGAAAGATCTCCCAGTTCCCAAAACACTCCCTTCAAAGGCTGGCTAGTCCTTCAAGGATCACTGGAGTGAAGTGGGCCTTAAGTTCCTCTAAGTCCGCAGGACACGTGGACATTCCTGCAGGAAAGAGCATGCTGCTGGGCTGTGACCCGCCACTGGTCCCTCTGTAGGCATCAGTAGTGAGACACCAGCTCTCACCTGGAGAAACAGCACATCCAGGAACTTAATGTGAGACTCAAGTTCTAACAGGAGGAGAGGAATGAAGACCTTGGCTTTTCATCTTTTCCAACATGAAGGCCATTTATAAAAGTCTTAATTCTTCCTGCCACCTCCAGGGAAGTTGTATATTATACTTTTGGATTATATTAATTAGTGAAACACATAATGAGTAGGATTTGCCAATTTCTGAATGAGTAGCACTTTTAACTGAATTTTTATTTTAGGAAACAGAAGCATTTGAAAACCCGCAGTATCGGGTGGATTGTACATATAAGGGTGTTGGTCTATACATGATTCCATAAACCCTTTCCTTGCAATCCTAAGAGTTCAGGGCCCACAGATTAGGAAGCCTGTGGCTAGATCATGGGGTATTGCTCCCGGGGAAGCAAGAATGGGGGAGGTTCCATAGGAAAATGGGGTCCATAGGAAAAGTGGGGGCTTAGAATGAGGAAGTGGGAGACCCCAAAGCACGCTTCACACACGTCACAATTTTGCTCACAACAAACCCTGCAGCCCTTTTCCCAATGGTCATCATAAAAATCAATCATGATAAATTTATACTGACATTTGGGTAGGAAAACTATGGATCACAACCACCAATGTGAGGGATTAATATGAAAGAAGAGGGAGACAGTGTCGCAGAAAAAATTTAGCTTATCCTGATGCCAAATTAAAGAGTAAAAAATCATCTAGAAAAAAACAGCAAGGCTATTCTTTAATGAAGCTTCGGGGTCTGGATTTGATCTGGATTGAACAAAAAGGACAGAAGGTAACAAAGAAAAGGGCACACGCTCATGCCATGTGACAAATACAGGGTCACCATTTAAGACGCCACCTTATCATTTCTCACCAGAAGGAGACTCATTTACACGTCACCACCACTAAAAGTAGGGCACCTCGTAAATCCACACGACACATATAATGAAAGTCAAACTTAGATTCTTCAAAAGTAGGAGGAAAAAAAAAAAATCAAAACAGACTTTATGCACAGCACCTGTTATAAATAAATGAAAAGCAGTGAAATTCAAGGAAACTAATTAGTCCCCTACCTTTCCACCTTATCCTCTCCCACTAACTTCTGTCACCAGGATTAAATATTACAGTACTCAACATGCCATGGACAAGTATTGCACCTTTATGGTCCACACCACTGGGTATCAGGTGTGCAACAAGCTTGGTGTCCCTGTCACATTGATTCATACATGCACACACACACACACACATTTGCCAAAGTCCTACTCATCCTTCTTACTCAACCCCCTGAGGCAGAACCAATATCCTCTCCCCAACATCTCCAGGGTATTCTTCCACTCGCCTCACACTTACTTCCACAACAGCACTGGCCACGGGGATTAGCAAAGCCACATCATCACTGTGTCTCACTCCTCTTTCTACTTGCAACACTGAGCACACTGCTGAGCACAGAATGCTTAACAAAAGCATGTTGCAGAAACAAAGGAATTAATGGGTAATTAGGGAGAAAAGCTTCTGATACTGATTGTATGAGGATTACCTGATCATGAAACCATCCTAATGGCTTACGATTCAATTACTGACAGGGCAGCCTTGTGAAAAATCACAGGAAAATATCTAATCCCACAATGTCCCCAGTAACAGCTAAAGATCAATCCTATCGGCTCTCTCTGCTCTCTCCCTCTCTTCCCCAGCTGACTAGGTGACACGCAGGGCGCCCTGCCCGGGTTCCACATTTACAACGTGAAAAGAGCAGAACTCACAGAAAGGAAATATAAATCTTTCTCTTTACATCCACCAGCCCACTGCCTTTTAAAATTTGTTTTATAGCCTCAAGGAGTTCCTGAGGAGTCACAAGTGGACAAATCGGTGGCAAACTCCAGGCCTTAGTTTCCTGCCCAAAACCATATCTCAGGGACAAAAATCACATCCCCTGTGATAAGCCTGACTACATTTGAGAGAGAACCAGTTTTCCAGAAGAAAAAACAGGAAAGACGGACAACCTGTCGTCTTGCAGCTGCCTCCTGCTAATTACTCTACAGCCGCTTCTGTTATCATCTTCTCACCGAGAGAGGAGCAGATGCAGAAGTTTCACAACACCCTGTTAATTTGGCTATAGCCATAAAATCTTTTTCACCCCCTAAATAAAAAGCCTGAACACCTGATTTTCTCTGCCAGCACTATCTCCCTTTCTTTCACCCTGTTGGTCCTTTCCCACCTGGAAAAAGTAAAATAAATTTCTTCTTTCTATCCTGATCTTTGGGGAAATCTTTCTCCAAACCCACATGTACTAGCTCTCCACCCTTATAATCACTGGAGGAAAATCTATTTCTCTAGCACTGAACTAACTAGTCACTTTCCCTCCCCTGGTAACTAATACTACATATATGTCATCTAACAAGATGAAAACGGAAAAGTGGGTTTTTTTCCATCAGAAGGTTTGAATGAGACACGATGGTTCCAAACAGTAGGTAATCCCTGCACCTTTCTAAAGAGCCTTAAAGAAAGCTAAACACTTGGGAGGAAAGCTCCTGCTGGCCCTCTGCTGTTCTCCCCTGCACTTTTCCACTCTCGCTGATAATCGAGACAAGGTACACTCACCTGGCTTGTTTCCTTCCCTCTCATGGCCCAGCTGCCCCTTGGTGTTCAAACCGCACGTGTAAACTTCCCCATCCTCCAGCAGGAACACGGAGTGGTTTCCTCCACAAGCCACTTCCTTCACGTTCCTGTCTGATATGAATCCACACACCTGCGGCTCAGCCACGATGCCTTGCAGGTTGGCGCTGATCCCGGGTTGGCCCAGAGACCAATATCCCCAACATAACATTGTTCTTATCTTTCAGGGAGTCATGTAGCCTAGAAGAGAGTTTTGCAAAAAAAAAAAAAAAAAAAAAAAAAAGTTAAAAAAAATTATTTTAATGTCAGAGAAAATCGACTCAAGTAATAAATGTAACCAATTTAAAAAATAACCTCCTCTTAATATTCTTCATATGTCTTATATCTCAAAATAAAACATTAATATTGTTAAAGTAGATATAAGTTATAATGATGCTATAGCTTCATATTTTAGTAAGAGTGTCAAAAACATGTTTAAACAAATTTTGTTTGTTTGAAATGAATGAGTGAACACTGACTACATGTGGTTTTCAAGTCATTGCTAAAGAACTCTGGGTACAGGAAACTGGCTGAAAGAATCTTTGCAAACCATCAAGGTCTTATAAAAAAAAGTAGAAGTTCCTATTTAAAACACCAAATGAAGGAGCAATGGAAGCCTGTGATATGAACGCAACTGGAACCTGGCCATTAAGTAGTAGATTCTGGGGTAGACAGTAGCAAATGAATTTTGAGAACAGGGATATCTAACACTCAGTTTGAAATTGTTACCTATTAGGTAACGACTTTTCAGAATCCCAAACCTTCGATCAAATTAAAACACATGGCCAGGTGATGGCTCATGCCTATAAGCCCAGAACTTTTGAGAGGGCAAGAGGATTGCTTAAGGCCAGGAGTTCAAGACCAGCCGGGGCAACAGTGAGACCCCCATCTCAAAAAAAAAAAAAAAAAAAATTTTTTGTTTTTAATCAGCCAGATGTGGTGACATGCTCCTGTAGTCCCAGCTACTCGGGAGGCTAAGGCAGGAGGATTGTTTGAGCCCAGGAGTCTGGGGTTGCAGGTAGCTGTGATGATGCCACAGCACTCTAGCCTGGGCAGAGAGTAAGACTTTGCCAAAAAAAAAAAAAAAAGGTGAATTTATCAATCAATCTACAAAATGTACAGGATAGAATTTTCACTAACTTCTATTAACTCTAAAGGTACAAAGGAGAAAGCTAATTGCTATTCTGTGCCAATTCAGCTTTTAAAATGATGAACTCCTTTCTCCCAAGGTAAAAGCGTGCCCAAATAGCTACAAATTAAAGATTACAACACAGATGAAGTTAATTCTTTCAGTCCTTCTTGACAACAATGACAGTATTCGTCCTTAATTCAATGATGTTTATTTGTATGTACAACTTAAATTTTACAACTGCCTTATGATAATCCTGACTTACTCTTTGAACCCTTGAGACTTTTAAGAAAAGGCCCAAAATAAAATATAAAACTGAATCTCAATCTGCTGCCTTAACCTGAAAGTTCTGCTTCTTGCTAAGATTTTTATTCTTGTCTAGAAATCCACACTAAAAGTGTATTAAAATTAAACATTATTGAGTTTCTTGCAAAGACTGAGGGGCAGTAGAAAGAAAAAATGCAAAACTAGTAGGGTGGTAGTGGTGGTAATAAAGATATACATTTAAATAGACCAGCAAGATTACATAATCTATCCATAATTTAGTTCTCCCAACTTGTCCAATTGCTATTATCTGCACTAATAGCTTTATTTTTAATGTTTCGTAAGTTTGTCTTCTCTCTCCTACCAATAATTATATAAGCAACATCATAATGCGTCAGTCACTGTGCTAATATGCATTTTATATCCTTATCTCATTTCATCTTCACAACAACCCCTGTGCCATAAATATGATTTTTAGCCTCATTTTCAGATAAAACAAGGCTTGCAGAGAACAAGCAGCAACCCAAGGTCACGCAGCTGGAAGGAGCGGAACCAGGCTATAAATCTAGACCACACTGCCACCCAAGTGGATTTACATTATTAATATCTTATCTATAAGATCAAAACACATAAAAGAAATTAAATACTTGCAGAATGACTACATTGTAGTTAGTATGCAGTACAGGATGTCCTGAAAACTTGAAAATAAAGTTCCTCTCTAAGAGTGAAACTAGTCAGAATTAAGAGATATTGGATGAGATTGGGCAGCTGTAGCATTAAGCCTAGTATAAACAATAGGTCTAAAAATGTGGTATCAAGAAGCCATGGATATATGTGTACACAAAGATCTGCAACAATGCTCACAGTGGCTTTATTCAATGACACTGGCCAACCCAACCAGAGAGCACCATCCCTAAGCAATAGCACATGACCCACACAAAGCCAATAAGAGAATGCTGCCCCAAAGCCATACCACAGGACCCATATCAAGCCAATCAGAGAATACCACCCCTAACCAATAGCACATGACCCACACCAAGCCAATCAGAGAACACCACGCCTAAGCAATAGCACTTGACCCACACCAAGCCAATCAGAGAATGCCACCCCAAAGCCATACCACACGACCCATATCAAGCCAATCAGAGAATACCACCCCTAACCAATAGCACATGACCCACACCAAGCCAATCAGAGAATGCTACTCCAAAGCCATACCACATGACCCACATCAAGCCAATCAGAGAATACCAGCCCAAAGCCATACCACATGACCCACGTCAAGCCAATCAGAGAATGCCACTCCTAAGCCACAGCACATGACCCACACCAAGCCAATCAGAGAACGCCACCCCTAAGCCATGGTGATTGGCGAAGGAAAAGGTTCTCACTCCCAACTGGGCCAGAGTCCTTCCCCAGTAAGTTCCATGGAGCTCTGATGGAAAACTGCCTTTTGCCTCTGAAAGATAACTGAGGCTGCCGAAAGCTACCTTCCCTGCCACGTGGAGGAGACCTGTAAGAGATTCTGAAGCTACCCAGGCATAAACAATCAGACAGGAGACAGACAAGAGTCCCAGGGATGTTAACAGAGTCTTTCGAGCCCCTCCTGCCTGGTGCCAGCACTCCCACCTTGACTCTAAGCACAAGTGGGCTTCATTATTTTTGGATTTCACACTTGGGAATTTGCCTACTCACTGAAATTTATTTGTAAACCCCAAACCAATATTACTTGGAGTGCTTTTTCAGTCATTCCCAGACATGAACAGAGAGCCAAAAAACTGAATCACCCTATGTGCATGTTCCTGGCTAAAGGCACAAGGCTATGCTCTTTCTCATTTCAACTCAACTGTAAACAAGTGTCCTTTTTGCAGTCTATTTAGTGCCACATTTTTTGCAATTTTTTGTTGGGGATTTTGCTGTTTAAAATGGCCCCCAAGCAGAGAAGTGAAGTGCTGTCTAGTGTTTCTACATGCAAGAAGCCTTGTTACATGCCTTACAGAGAAAATATGTGTTAGATAGGTTTCCTTCATGCATGAGTTATAGTGTTGACCATGAGTTCAATGTTAATGAATCAACAACAGGGTACATCCAAAAATGGAAGAGGAAATCCACTGATCCGTATGTGAGGCCACCCCAGAAAGTGCTAATGTAATATCTATAGTGCATAATGAAGCCATAGAAAAGATGGAAAAGCAGCTAAATTGGTGGATTCACGAGATGACAACCAAAAAAACCAAAAAGCACAGCACAGACTGCATTGATGTGAGGCTGAAATCCAAAAACATTTTATTGTCACATTACCCAGGGTCAGGAAAATGTTAAGCCTTTCTCGATTAGTGTTTTATTACAGAGAAATATTGCATATAATTATTTATGATATATACTAAATAAGGTGTCTAGACAGAAACACACATAAAACAAGGGATGTATTGACAATTGAAAAAAATGTCGTGACCAGAGGCTCGTAGGAACCTAGCCCTGTATTTCCTAAGAAGTGATGGCTCTGTATTCGCTAACCTGGTGTTCACCGTGACTTTTAAGTACATGACTATTGCAAATAATGAGAATCAACTACATATAATCTAATAAGTCTCTTTGTTGTTTAAGCTTATTTAAGCTTGTCCAAATTGGGTTTGGTCTTCCACTTGCATTAAAAAAAAAACTCCTGAATTATATTATTATATTATTAATAACAATAGCAGGTAAGACAATTTGAGCTTACTCTAGGTCTGACACTTTTCTATGCGCTTCCCAGATATAGTAACTCATTTAATCTTCTATGCAACAGGTACTGCTATTATCATCTCTAATTGAAGAAAACTTCAAATACTCTTCCCATCTGAGTTCTAGTAATGGAATCTTCAAGTAGCCCAGTAAAAGCTACTGGGCCAAGAAAATTAAATGGCAACTGCAAATTAAATGTATCCCTATGAATGGAATATCAATCCTAATTATAAATATGGTCTAGGTCATCATGAAGCTCTGCCAAAACTACAGCAAGAGGCACTAAGATTATCGAGCTTTCAGAAGAGAAGTCTAGTGTGTTGAAAAAAAGCCAGCCATTAATACAGCTTTCACTTAAAAGCACATTCCATACCGGGCACGGTGGCTCACATATGTAATCCCAGCACTCTGGGAGGCTAAAGCGGGAAGATTTGAGTTCAGGGGTTCAAGACCAGCCTGAGCAAGAGCAAGACCCTGTCTCTACTATAAATAGAAATTAATTGGCCAACTAAAAATATATAGAAAAAACTAGCCAGGCATGGTGGTGCATGCCTGTAGTCCCAGCTACTTGGGAGGCTAAGGCAGGAGGATCGCTTGAGCCCAGGAGTTTGAGTTTGCTGTGAGCGAGGCTGACACCAGGGCACTCTAGCCTGGGCAACAGAGTGAGACTCTGTCTCAAAAAAAAAAAAAAAGAAAAAAAGAAAAAGAAAAGTACAACACTCTAGTTGAACCCCTAAATCTGGTAGCTGTTCAGTTCCAGCCGCTCCATTTCCTGCCTCTTATTTCCCCTCACAAAACCAAAGGAAGGACCACTTTCTCTCCATGCCACACCCAGTGCTTTCCTCAGTCCTTCTCCTTCTCTATTCTTGGTAAGAGATTCAAGATAATCTTAGCAGGGCTTAGGGGTCAAAAGGACTGAAGTCCACGCCCTGAATTAACCACATTAGCTGTGAAACCTGGGAGGAGATGTTTAACCACCCTAAGCTTGTTTCCTGTCTCTAAAATGGGGAAAAGAGTGGTAGGGTATTGCAGGATTCATGAGAAAATATATGTAAAAACTGTTTAGCATGGTGCCTGGCATGTCGTAGTAAGTGACCAATAAATGCCTGCTGCTTTAGTCACTGTTACTCCTACTCCTAGTGCCCTTCTTTGAGACCTCAGCAGACAGGAGGGTCCCCAAAAGAGGCTGGGGGTGTAACTCCTTTCTTCCTCTCTGTGATTAGCATAAGCTGTGTCCTGCCAAATCTGCCATAGGCAAGGCAGCAACCCTGCGATCTGCCATGACTTTCAGGAAGAGTATTTGACATTGCTAGAAGAAAGTTTTTTGTATTTTCTTTTTTTTTTTTTTTTTTTTTTGAGACAGAGTCTCACTTTGTTGTCCAGGCTAGAGTGAGTGCCGTGGCGTCAGCCTAGTCACAGCAACCTCAACTCTGGGCTTGAGTGATCCTTCTGCCTCAGCCTCCCGAGTAGCTGGGACTACAGGCATGCGCACCATGCCGGCTAATTTTGTTTTATAATATCAGTTGGCCAATTAATTTCTTTCTATTTATAGTAGAGACGGGGTCTCGCTCTTGCTCAGGCTGGTTTTGAACTTCTGACCTTGAGCAATCCGCCCGCCTCGGCCTCCCAAGAGCTAGGATTACAGGCGTGAGCCACAGCGCCCGGCCAGTTTTTTGTATTTTCTTTGTAAATTCTTGAGAAGGTTTGGGTGGGGATGGGGAGAGGATAGAAAAATCTTTTTACCAATCCTAGTGAGCTGAATGCTAAAAGACAACCTTCAGCTCTTAAACTTTGCCTTAGACTATGCACACAGCAGCCTAACAACTGATTCTTATTCCTTTGTTTGAAAGTCACTGAAACCTAAGTAACACTCAAGCAGAACTTCTAATCTCATTTAAGATGGGGATAAGCTCCCTTTCAAATAAGTTTAGAAGCAATTACCTGAACAGTGTGTATGTATAGAGGGGTCTTTTTCAACAGCAGGAAAAGACCGCATCCAAGGCTTCAGTGCTTTGCAATTATTCCCCAAATCTAAACTTTAAATAAAGTTGGAAGCAAAACTCAAATGCAGAATTAAACTCTGGGAAGAAAAAAGGGCTGGGCACAGTGGCTCACGCCTGTCATCCCAGCACTATGGGAGGCCAAGGCAGGTGGATAGCTCAAGGTTAGGAGTTCGAGACCAGCCTGAGCAAGAGCAAGACCCTGTCTCTACTAAAGATAGAAATTAACTGGCCAACTAAAAATATACAGAAAAAATTAGCTGGGCATGGTGGCGCATGCCTGTAGTCCCAGCTACTTGGGAGGCTGAGGCAAGAGGATTGCTTGAGCGCAGGAGTTTGAGGTTGCTGTGAGCTAGACTGATGCCCTGGCACTCTAGCCCAGGCAACAGAGTGAGACTCTGTCTCAAAAAAAAAAAAAAAAAAAAAGATTCATTCTAATGACATGCCTTATTGTCAAAAATGTTACTACCATGGGCAGAAATGGTACAAAAGGCAAAGAGAAGTTTTCAACGATGTAGATCCACTCCTTGCTCTCTTCCCTCTCTCCTCCACTTCAGCTGAACTTCAGGCGTCTGACCCTTTCAGCCAACACAGAAAACATTCCTACCTCTCCCCCATCATCCCCTTACAGTTGGGTGCGTTCTTTGATACCGGTGCTGGGCTTTGCAAAGGTAGAAGAAAGATCTCTCAACTGTCTGCTTAGGCTGGGCTGCCTTCAAAAGACACCAAATTGAATTGAAAAGTCTAACAATACCAAGCCAAGAATATGCGACAGCCAGAACTCCTATAGACAGCTCATGGGAGTATAAATTGGCATAACCTCTTGGGAAAACAAGTTGGTATTACCAAGCAAAAATGAAGATGTGAATACCTCACAGCACAGTAATTTTACTCCTGGGCATATGACCAGCACTGTCCAACCTATTAAATATCTATGGTGCTCCTGCATTATGCTAAGAACTGGAGATACAAAGAGGAGTATAACCTGGAAACTAAAAACCTTCTACAATGATAGAAATGCTATATATCTGCACTGACCACTAAGGGAGCCAGTAGCCATATGTGGTTACTTGTGACTACTTAAAATAGGCTAATACGGAGGGGGGAAATGGGCATTTATTGAAACCTTAAAATCTGTACCCCCATAATATGCCGAAATAAAAAAAAATTAAAAAATTAAAAAAATAGGCTAATACAAGTGAAGAACTGAAAATTTAATATTAAATATTTAATGTAATTTAATTTAAATTTTAATATTATTTAAATTTAATGTAATTTAATTTAAATTTTAATATTTAAATTTAATGTAATTCAATTTAAATTTTAATATTATTTAAATTTAATGTAATTTAATTTAAATTTTAATATTATTTAAATTTAAATTTACTGAAATTTTAATATTTAAGCCATATATATATATATATATATGGCTAGTGGCCATCTTACTATACAATACAGTGAGAAACTCATCAACACATGCACCAGGATATATGTACAAGAATATTCATTTCAGCATTATTTGAAATAGAAAAAACTAAAAACTACCCAAATTTCCATTGATAAAAACTGTGGCACATGCATAAAATTCAATACTGTACAGTAGTGAAAAACAAATGAATCCATCTATAAGCATCAGTGTAGCTAAATCTTAAAAACAGTGTTAAGTCACAGAAGAATTCAGAGTTATGCACTTTTGCAAAGTTCAAACACAAGTATGACACGTTATTTAGAAATTGAAAACTCGGTGGTAATAAAGCTATGAAAAAAAAGCAAAAAAAAAATCATAAACGCAAAATACAAGGGAGTGCTTGTGGAGGCAGGAGAGATAGAGGGAATAATCTGGAAGGAGTACAAAGGGAGGCACTTCAATAGCATGGCTGACCGTCTGCTTCTGTTCTTTTATTGTTATGTTTCTTAACGTATACGTTATACATGTGATTTTATGCTTACAAATACTTCACAACACACAAAATATGAAAAGAACTGTTCAGGCAGTATCACTGCTCCCCATACCTCCTCCAAATCTAAACTTTAAATAAAGATTTAGATTCCCTACTACTAAGTGAAGTATCCCAAGAATGGAAAAACAAGCAGCAGATATATTCTCCAGCAAACTGGTATTAACTGAGTAGCACCTAAGTGGACACATAGGTGCTACAGTAATAGGGTATTGGGGAGGTGGGAGGGGGGAAGGGGGCGGGTATATACATACATAATGAGTGAGATGTGCACCATCTGGGGGATAGTCATGATGGAGACTCGGACTTGTGGGGGGAGGGGGGGAAATGGGCATTTAGTGAAACCTTAAAATCTGTACCCCCATAATATGCCGAAATAAAAAAAAAAAAACCTAAAAAAAAAAGATTTAGATTCCCCAAATCTAAACTTTAGATTTGGAGAACAGCCTGTCCACGTGCGGACTAGGAGCTTCCCCATGAAGGAACCAGGTTTTACTCATCTTTGTGCCTTCCGTGCATGAGCACAATAGAGGCTTAATAAGTGCCAGGTGAACTGAACCCCAATCTGAGAAAAACAGAATTCCTACAATCTCAATTCGTTACCAGTTTTGTTTTCCAGATAATGTTAAAGATATCCTATGCAGTAACAAAAAATAATAATGTATTACTATTTCCTCCATGCTAAAATGCCCTCTCCCCTCACCACATTTTAGCAGATCTGAAAGGAGAATTTCTTCTACGGCGGAAGCTGTCATTAAATGGTGTGTTTTAGTATCATCTCAGCATGCTAGAATTGAGCAATGGAAGCTCCAAGAAGGAAGCACCAAGCCTCTTTTGTTCATTTCTCTATCCCTAGAGACAAGACTGGTGTCTGGCACATAGTAGGCGCTCAATAAGTAGTTGCTGAACAAAGAAAAAGTAACACTATTACTGCAAGCCTACTATGTGTCTGGCTCTGCAATTAAAAACCTTACACAGATTAATTTACCCTTTGTGATAACCCCAAGGTTAGCAAGGTCAAGTCAACTGACCAAGAACATGTAATAAAAGTAAGCAGCTGAAATGGAAACTTACTAAACAGCAAAGGCAGGATTCAAATCTCCTCTACCAGACTCCAAAGCCCAGCTTTTAAGCATGAAACTACATCATCTCCCAAACAAAACAAAGCCAAGCCATACCGCTTTCTCCAACTTTGAAAATAAAAGTTTAAAGAAGATGTTGACACAACAGGTGAGCTCATATTAGCTCAATCACTGATGATGTTCACAGGCAACTAGAATCCCCGTTAGCAGTAGGGAAGGGATGAGTGAAGCAATCTTAACAGAGTTAACCAGCCTTTCCTTCATGTCTACTCTGACTTATAATAAAACCAGTTCACCTGCACAGAAATACATGCCCCTGCCACTAAGTACTGTTTCTAAATGAAGTAAATGTCTAAAGGGGACAGAGTTATATAATTAAAGCTATCATCTTATTAAAGGGGCATGGACTTAAAATGGACTTAAAAGTCCATTTGATTCAACCCCTAGGCAAGAGACTTACATTCCTAACTCCATTTTAGAAGCCAAGTAACTCTGGTCCTCTAAGAAGCAAGCTGTCGAAGGACAGACAGAAACCAGGTCTTCCTCCTCCTGGGCTCACCTTGTTGTCTTCACTACCTCACAGCAGAAGGAAGGCGTCACATTTGTTTAGGTCCCTCTCTAGGCAGCTGTACCCGCCTGAGTGCTTTACCTGCATGCACTGTCTTCTTTAAATACTCTTATTAATTCTGCGAGTTAGATATTATCTCCATTTACAAGATGAGAAAACTGAGGTCCAGAGAAATGAAGTAACTCACCCCAGGTCACAAGCTTGGCATTTGGACGAGAAGCCAGAAAGGTTCCACCACGCCTCCCAGATCTGCAAGTGAAAGAGTAATTAACATTAGTGCACAACTCTGCAAAGTGCTTTCAGGTTATTGACAACAGACAGACAGGAGTTAATTTCTGAAAAAAAAAAAGAATATTTTTAAATCACTCAAGCTTGAATAATCCCCAAACACCATACCTCAAGACTGGAGTTTGGTTAAGGTACTATTAAGATAACCTCTACCCAATTATGAAGAATGTCAATCACCCCTAAAAGTGAACTAGAGACATAGACGTCACCTTATAAAATTCCTGACATTTGACAGGGAGTAGTAAAAATCCAATTACTTTTAAAAACTCCCATTTAGGTTAGAGAAATTTTTGGACGCTGTTGGAATTGTTTCAATTAGTTGTCTATTTTCTTTATTTTTGCACATATCACAAATACTATAGTTTATTTTGCTACAACTATTAGGAAGACTTTCCTTTTGTTCCTTCTCATTATCACTTCTATATCATGCAAAACAAGAAGAGATTATCTGAGAGATACCTTATATCTCTCAAAAGTAAAAGTTCTGCATGATTTTACTATATTATCATCATAACTTTATTTCTACCTTCTTATGTAGAAAATCCCATTCAATTTGGAAAATATTACTTTTATTTCTGAAACAAGCAAAACTATCTGGTGTCTCCACTACTCTCACTCATTAAGGATAACAAATATTCTTAGCTGGTCATACAAATCTTAAGAAATTTAAATTTGTTCTTCAGAATGAAATGCTATAAGCAATGGCTTCAACCATACCATTTGGAACATTTTGGAATCCCTGTTTCTTTTTTCAAAAATGAAACTCCAGCTACTTGCTGAACAAGTAGAGCTGCAGGCTAGTTAACCCTGACTTTTTTTTTTTCCATGCCAAAGGAGGAGTTTTGCCAAAGAGGTTTCTAAACTGTCTCCTTGATTCCTGCACTATTCTTTCTCCAGAAGGTTCCTAGATAGGGGTTAGATAATGATGTGGAATAGGTAATTCCTCTATTTTGCTTAAAAATATGTCATTCATTTACTTTGCTTTTTTTTTTCTGCTTTATAATAATGTTACTCCCTCCTCCCCCAGGGTAAAAGGAAAGTACAAAAAGGAGAGAGAGCTTCACAGTAATCTGCCTACTAAAATATGATACCCTCTTCTCTCTCTAGCCACTGCATTTTAAAGGGTTATTAATCCTCATTTTTTTTCCTCCTTTCTCCTCAGTCTGGAGTCAAAAAAAAAAAAAAAATCAGCTCCCTTGGTGTTATCAAAGCATCAAATAAAAGGTTCTGGAAATAGCGTCCTATTTGTGGAAAGTGCCAGAAGACACACGCACACACACACAAAAAAAAAAAAAAAATGGAAGAGCAGGTCCTTGAACCGTCTTTCCCGACGCTTTCTGCGGGTGACGAAGGCCAGCCAAATCCTGGAAGGCTTAGCGATGAATTTAAGGTACTGGTGTGCAAGCTAAAGTGAAAATGCAATCGGAAAACAGCCAGAATCGGCGACCGCCCGACGGGCCGACGGCCAAGTTCAAAGACTCGTTCCCGGAGCCGCCGCCGCCGCCGCCGCCGCGAGCGCAGGATCGCCGCTCGGTCGCGTCGCGTCCCCCGCGGGCCCGTCCGACTCGGGTCCCACGCGCCCTGCCCCGCGCGGCCGCCCGGGTGTGCCCACGCCGCACGGCCACACGCGCACGGCGCCAGGTCCCACCTGCCCGCCGCCGTCCGAGCCCCCGCCACAGCCCGCGCGCCGGTCCCCGCGCCGACGCGCCGGCTCGCTGACACACCCGCGCGCACGCACGTGTCCCCACACACACACACCCGCGCCCCGGCCCCGCCCCGGAGGCGGACTCGGGCGAGGCCAGCCGGCGCCGCCTCCGCGAGGTGGGTGGCGCCGGGCCCCGCCGCCCCGCCGGCGCTGTCACCGCGGACGCCGCGCCCCGCATCCTCGGCGCAAAGTCCTCTCCCGGGCCGCCGTCCCGCGGGGAGGAGTCCGCGTCCCTCTCAGCAACGACGTCCCCGGAGCCCCAGGGTGGACGTCCGGGCCGGGTGGGCGAGGGACGGCAGGCTCCGCGCGGTGACACTCCGCGTCGCGGCAGTCCCCCCGCGGGGTCCCGGCGGGAGGCGCGCCCCCACGTCGGAGGCTTTTCCAGCCCTTCCCGGCGCGGGGGGCTGCGGGGACGCCCCGACCTCCCCGCGCCCCCGCCCGGGTCGTCGCGGGAGGCGCCCCGCCGGGAGCCGCGCGCTGACAGGCGCGCCGGGAGCGACCCTCCCCGTCCCCGGGCCCCCGGCCCCCGGCCCGCGCACCTCTGCGGCCGCCGCGCCGCGGCGTGGGCTCCCGACCGTCACGGCCCCTCAGGCTGGGCTCGGGCTCTCTCGGTTTTCGGCGTCACAATAATAAGGAAGTTTCCCCGCAAGCCTGCGGGCGGCGGAATGCGCCGCGGGAGTGACTTCGCGCCGGGCCAATGGGCGCCCTTCTGGGGCGGGCGCGGGCCAATGGCAGCCGCCGCGGCGCCGGCGGGGGCGGGCCGGCGGGCTCCCCGCGGGCGGGAGGCGGGGAGAGGCCCAGGCCCGGGAGGGAGGCGCGAGCGGCCCGAGGTGACAGGACCCGGGCGCGGGGACGGCGGCGCGGCGCGCCGGCCGCGGTCGCACCGCAAGACACCGAGCGTCCGCGTTGAGATAAGAATGCGGGACTGATCAGCGGCTGGTCTGAAGGTTCTGGGCTCCGGTTTTTATTATTTATGCAGAGGTGACCGCAAGCCGTGGGGACAGGGGTCGAAAGCGACAGGGGGCGAGCGCGGGAGTCTTCTATTTTACTCACCAACGTAGGACCGCGGGTGGGAGAGGCGGGAAGGAGCCGCTGCGGCTGCCGGCTCCCTTCTGGAGAGTTGGGGACGGAAGAGTAGGGCGACACTGCAGAAGAAAGCAGGGCTTGGGGACACTGGAGGGTGGGGGCTGGGGGAGCGTGAAAAAAGAAAAGTCCCTGAGCACCAGATCTTAAACCTTGTAATCTGAAAGACACCCTGTGGCCTAAACCCAGTAACAGATTAAAAAAAAAAAAAAAAAGTTTGTCCTCTTCTCTCTCCTACTTTTCCCTGACACCGAATGTCAGAGCTTCCTCCTCCTCCCCAAGGTCACAAGTGCTTTTCAGACTTGCCCTGGTCCTTATCTGATCCACAGATAATCTTTTGAAGAAAAGACATTCTCCCAAAGGTAGCTCCGTGTGTCTGCCACCACCACCACCCCTTAAATTGGAAACGCAGGACGCTAGGAAAGTCCAGCTTGAATCCAAAGAAATAACTCTCCCCGTGGGAGAATTGCTATAACCTGGCAATTTGAACCAAGAAGGAACGCCCTTTGAGGCCGGATTCTTTGCAAGGACGTTCAGATCCCCGCAGGTCTGCAGTTAACCTGCCTGAGAACCTAACTGATTGATTCATTAGAGGGAGAAAAAAAATAAATTTTATCTCCTGGAGACGAGACAATGTTGGCTGGCGAATGAGCCCTCGGTGAAATAAAGCAAATTGTCAAACACACCTGAGGCCGGAAAGATTAGAAGGCAGAATCTCACTTATCAGGTAGCTAACTAAGGTCATCTAGGAAAAATAAGAGAAACCTTTGACTTTTGAATCACACCGGACACTTCTAGAAACACTGAGGACCAGAGCTCCAGCAGTGTGGCAGTTTCACAAAAGTTTAGTCCATTGCAAAGATGAAATCCTAATTTAGAGATAATATCACCAAAAAGAACTGGGGAAATGGTCAGAGAGAGAGGAGGAAGGAGGATATTTGAGAAGGAAAAGAGTGGGAGCCTGTTTTCTTGTGTCACATGTGAGGTTTGTAATCAATCAGTGTTTGGGTTGAATGATCCTGCCCATGGCTCAGGTGTATTTCATATGAAATTTCATCTTGAGAAAAAGGGGGGTTTATCAACGACTCCAACCTGGAGGTGGGGCAGGAGTGATGTTTAAATAACAAATTAAAGTACTTTACACAATAAACAGCCAGACCCTGGAAACTTAAACATGTAGAACAAACAGAAAATATCACAACAGTTCATTTTATTAACCGATCCAATGTATAATGGCAATTTCCTCAGCAAGCAAGTCCTGCTCCCTTTACCAAAATGGCTTTAAATGGCCCTAGCACCAACAATAGTCATGTTTTTTCGTTTTGTTTTTTGAGACGGGGTCTCACTATTCCCTGGGCTAGAGAGCAATGGCATCATCACAGCTCTTGGGCTCAAGAGATCATCCTGCCTCAGCCTCCCAAGTAGCTGGGACTGCTGCAGTCACATGCCACCATCCCTGGCTAATTTTTCTTATTTTTTGTAGAGACAGGGGGGTCTCACTATGTTGCTCAGGCTGGTCTTGAACTCCTGGCCTCAAGCGAAACCTCCTCCCTCAGCCTCTCAAAGTGCTAGGATTACAGGCATGAGCCACCATAACTTTTGACGGGAGCAAGGGACCATGTGGTCCAGCTCTGTCACCAGGCAAATGAGGAGCCCCCGGGACAAGAGCAATAATACTTAAGGCTGCTGTACTTCTGCAAGAACTCACACTGATTTGCCCCATTCTTCACAGCTCACTTCATAAAATTCATATGTCTATTTCAAAGTGAAACAAATTTTCAATGGAATAGGAATACCTTTAATGGTGACTTGTTTTCTTTCTTCTCTGTGTTTAACTTACTTGTCCTGCAGACAAACATTCACTCGGTAAACTTAGAAAGAGAACAGATAGACTTCTGATATCTTGGGTAAAACCTATGGAAAAAAACAGGTCAGTGAGAACATTCTGTCTCTCAGATACATGTTTTTTGTTGTTGTTGTTGTTGTTGTTTTTTGAGACAGTCTAGCTCTGTCTCCCTCACTTACAGTACAGTGGTGTTATACTTGACAGCAACTTCAAAATCCTGGGCTCAAGCGATCCTCCTGCCTCAGCCTCCCAAGTAGCTGGGACCACAGGCATGTGCCAGTCCACCCAGCTAATTTTTCTATTTTTTGTAGAGACAGGGTCTGGCTCTTGCTCACACTCCTGAGCTCAAGCGATCTTCCCACTTGAGGCTCCCAAAGTGCTAGGATTATAGGCATGAGCCACCATGCCCAGCCTCTCAGATATACTTTTGAAGAATAAATTTCTTCACCTGTAGGAGATGAATTAGGTAAACCTGCCTGATTACTGGACAGGTAAAATATGTGCATCCTATAGGGCTACATAAAGATAAAGATGTTTCTTAGTTACCCACCCTTGGTATAGACAATATTTAAGGGAAAAATTAGTCGCAAACCTTTTTTTCACTGTTTTTGGTTGTTTAATATAAGAGGTCTGTGTATACCCAGGCTAAGCTTATTGAAAACTGTCCTGTAACACACAGCATTAATTTATTAATGTGAAAATAGCTTAGAAGAAAGACATTATGTAATTCTATATTGCCATCAATCAAATAATCATTAACTGTGATTAAATATATTCTCTATGTTGTATTGCTAGACAAGAAGCACCATTCCTGACTACAAAGAGCTTATAGCCATTATGACTATTCCTTTATTTTTTATTGAAACCATTTAGAGTTTGTTTGCAATTTTTTTCTTATCAAGACCTTTGAATGAGCCGGGCACGATGGCTCACACCTATAATCCTAGCACTCTGGGAGGCCGAGGCAGGAGGATTGCTCAAGGTCAGGAGTTCAAAACCAGCCTGAGACCCAGTCTCTACTATAAATAGAAAGAAATTAATTGGCCAACTAATATATATAGAAAAAATTAGCTGGGCATGGTGGCACATGCCTGTAGTCCCAGCTACTTGGGAGGCTGAGGCAGGAGGATTGCTTGAGCCCAGGAGTTGGAGGTTGCTGTGAGCTAGGCTGATGCCAGAGCACTCTAGCTTGGGCAACAGAGTGAGACTCTGTCTCAAAAAAAAAAAAGACCTTTGAATGAAGCACAAGAACCTTACCTTAAATATAAGAAACTTGTTCCTACTGTACATATTAAAATGTATTAATGATAACAGGATTGGATAATTGAACATTTTCTAAGGAAGCCCTTAAGCTGAGCATTGGCTTGTCTCTGAAGTTTTCATACAGTAACACTTTTAGGAAGTAACATATTTTCCTGAAGCTTTCTCTTTTCAAAGGTCCCAAAAATTGTACTATTGAAAATGGCATCAAGCGTTTCACAGTGACTAGACTGACAAAATGAGTACTTCGGGGAATGCAACAAAGATCATTGTTTGTGTCCATGTAGCTGCATCAAGTGTGTGTATTTTAACTGCCCCAAATCAGGCCGCTGTTTTACCTTTCTAGAAGCAAAGAAAGTATTCAAAAATTTACTTGTGTCAAACCAAAAGAAAATCATAAAATTGAAAAATCCCCTTTCTTGGAAGTTTTAGGAAATCTGGGTCAAATGAAATTTAAGGAATTTTTTTATATCCTAGAAAAGCTGAAGTGAGCGTGTGGAATTTCAAAAGGGCATACTTACAGTGATATTAGATGGCTTTATAGGTTGGCCATGAAATCTGGAAACACAGGCAAATATACCTAATAAGTGGTTCGTTGTTGTTGCATGATATGATATGTTAAATGTGTGTCCCTTGTAACAATGCATAGTTCATGTTACAGTGAGCAGGGCGCTTCCACATGACATTTCCCTCGATCCCAGCAAAAGCAGCTGTGATGTGTTGCCTTGGAGAATTTCTCCTTCTGATTTTTACTGAATAAACCTATACCTGTAGCATACCCTAGAAGAAGTAAGTAGGCAGGAGGTTCGCTCTGTAAAGTTGACATATGATATAACATGATATAATTTACTTACTAGAAATGTGTAAAAAAATAAAATAATGTTGTCTGTGTTTCCAGACTTTATGGCCACCCTTTTTTTAATTTTATTTTTGAGACAGAGTCTCACTCTGTTGCCCGGGCTAGAGTGCCGTGGCATCAGCCTAGCTCACAGCAACCTCAAATTCCTGGACTCAAGTGATCCTCCTGCCTCAGCCTCCCGAGTAGCTGGGACTCTAGGCATGTGCCACCATGCCCTGCTAATTCTTTCTATATATTTTTAGTTGGCCAATTAATTTCTTTCTATTTTTAGTACAGAGGGGGGGTCTCGCTCTTGCTCAGGCTGGTTTCGAACTCCTGACTTTAAGCGATCCTCCCACCTTAGCCTCCCAGAGTGCTGGGATTACCTACATGAGCCACCTCACCTGGCCCATTGCCACCCTTTTAATAAATGGGGACTTCCCCTGGTCAAGACTTTAAAATAAAAAAAAATAAAATAAATAAAAATAAATAAATGGGGACTAATAAGTTGGTATTTAACCTTCTATTGGCTTTGAGTATTTTGTTTTCAGTCTACTGTTGGCAAAATCTCAATGAAATCTGCTATTATATTTAATTTAGAGTTGTTGATTAACAGATTGTTCTTACGTTACCGATACTATAGATATCATAGTTGATTCTGTTTCCCTCTTTGATTCTCAAAAGCCTGGGGCAAAATGTCTGGCCCATCTGTATAGAATCTTACTGCTTGCATTTTTTAGTCATTTTAACTTTCCTATGTCATCTTTCCATTGTATCTCTTCTTACCTACTTGAAAATAAAAAAAACAACTTGTTTTCTCTTCACAATGTAAAATATATTAACTGTATAAAATGTGTTATATACATATGAGAGAAAAGAAGAAATAAAAATGATTTTTCCTTTCATTGACCACATCTAGTTATAGTTCAGCTTTCTAATGCATATATTGCATTTTAGAAGTGACTTATTCTTTACATAATATTTTCATTCTGCTCTCTGAATTAACAACATATATTAAACATCTTTAATGGAATTAAATATTATCCTACAACAGTTTTAAACAATTGCATGAATTCACAAAATAGTCATTTACTTAACCAATTTCTCCCTCTGCATGTTTAAATTGTTTTCTTTACCACTGTAAACAATTGTGCAATGTAGCTAAACATAGTGAATACGGCTAAATTTTTGTCCCTTCCCTTGATTATTTCATTAAGATAAATTCCTAAAGGTGGAATTGCTAGTTCTCTAAGGTTTTGTAGTTTCCAAAATTCCCTAACAAAACATGGCACCAGCCAAACACACAGTATCTGAGTGCCTTATATGTAGCCCCCTTATCAGTAATATTTTTTAATGTTTTTATTGTATTAACTTTGTAAGTTACCATAAGACTTTACTGAAATATACAGATTATAAACAAGAAAAATAATTTCTAGCAAAATAAAAGTAATATGCACACACCTAAACATTAGGTTCCAGAAAGGGGGCGGGCACGGTGGCTCACGCCTGTAATCCTAGCACTCTGGGAGGCTGAGGCAGAAGGATCGTTCAAGGTCAGGGGTTGGAGACCAGCCTGAGCAAGAGCGAGACCCCGTCTCTACTAAAAATAGAAAGAAATTAATTGGCCAACTAAAATATATAGAAAAAATAGCGCGCATGTAGTGCATGCCTGTAGTCCTAGCTACTCGGGAGGCTGAGGCAGGAGGATCGCTTGAGCCCAGGAGTTGGAGGTTGCTGTGAGCGAGGCTGACACCACGGCACTCCAGCCTGGGCGACAGAGTAAGACTCTGTCTCAAAAAAAAAAAGTTCCAGAAAGGAAGGTCTGTGCAAACCCAAACTGTTGTTAATCTTTTTCATCTTCAGTACTCGTGCACAAGCCAGTGACAATGAGTTGAGGGTTCACCAAGTTCCACAGCAAAAAAGAAAAAAAATTTCATTAAAAAGACAAAGTGTCATAATTTGCGTCATCAACAATAGAATGCTAGCCAGAGAAAACATTCTATTTTCCATTTCTCAAATAGCAAACTTAGTGTCGTGATTTAAAACATCCACTGTGGCCCAGTCACCTTTGCCATCAGTCATTTTGTCATGTGTGTCCCATTGCTTTATACAGGAAAACAACCTTACTGACCAACCATAAGGCAAACACATACTTTATGACAGGGGTCCTCAAACTTTTTAAACAGTTCACTGTCCCTCAGACCGTTGGAGAGTGTGCACTGTGGGCCTGGGATGAGTTGGCTGCTAAGCAGGACAGGTAGCAGCGACAAAAACACCCAGTGGGCCAGATAAATGTCCTAAGCGGGCGGCATGTGGCCCTCGGGCCATAGTTTGAGGATGCCTGCTTTATGAGTTCTTTTGCAGCCTGCTGTGGTCTGAATGTTTGTGTCCCCTCAATGTTCATATGTTGAAATCCTAACCCTAAGGGTGATGGGATTGGAAGGTGGGGACTCTGGGAGAGGATTGCATCATGGGTGGGAGGAGCCCTCATGACTGGAATTGGTGCCTTTGCGTAAGAGACCCCAGAGAGCTGGCTGGCCCCTTCCAGCATGGGGACACAGTGAGAAGGTGCCATCTGTGAACCCGGAAATAGGTCCTCCCCAGATGCCAAATCTGGCACTTTGACCTTGGTCTGGCCAGCCTCCAGAACTTTGAGGAATAAATTTCTGTTTATAAACTTCCCAGTCTATGGGATGTTGTTATAATAGCCTGAACATAACTAAGGCATAGGCTTTTGGGGTGGAATTGTTCTTGCCCATTTCCCTTTTGGATAAAAGTTCAAAGGACACTCAAGCCTGTAATCTAGGACTCTGGGAGGCAGATGGCTTGATGTCATGAGTTCAAGACCAGCCTGAGCAAGAACTCTACTAAAGCTTGACCCCATCTCTACTAAAAATAGAAAGAAATTAGCTGGACAACTAAAAATATGTAGAAAAAATTGCCAGGCACGGTGGCACATGCCTGTAGTCCCAGCTACTCAGGAGGCTGAGGCAGAAGGGTCACCAGAGCCCAGGAGTTGGAGGTTGCTGTGAGTGAGGCTGATGCCACGGCACTCACTCTAGCCTGGGCAACAGAGTAAGACTCTGTCTCAAAAAAAAAAAAGTTCAAAGGACATGTCTTTGTCCATTTTGTGCTACTGTGATAGAATAATACCACAAATGGGATACTGTATAGTGAACAGAAATGTATTGTCTCGCGGTTCTGGGGGCTGGCAAGTCCAATATCAAGATGCCAGCATGTGGCGAAGGCCTTCTTGCTGTGTCATTGTATGGCAAAAGGAGAAATAGAGAAGAACTCTATCCTCACATGGAGGAAAGCAGCAGCACAAAGAGAGAAACTGAGTCCTCACACGACAGAAGAACAGAGAAGCAAAAAGGGGCCCAAACTCACCCTTTTTTTAATACCAGTAATTCCACCCTGGAGAGATGGACTCTCATGGTCTAATCACCCCTCAACAATCCCATTTCTTTTTTTTTTGAGATAGAGTTTCACTTTGTTGCCTAGGCTAGAGTGCCATGGCGTCAGCCAAGGTCACAGCAACCTCCAACTCCTGGCCTCAAGTGTTCCTCCTGCCTCAGCCTCCCGAGTAGCTGGGACTACAGGCATGCACCACCATGCCCGGCTAATTTTTTCTATATATTTTTAGTTGGCCAATTGATTTCTTTCTATTCTCAGTAGAGACAGGGTCTCTCTCTTGCTCAGGCTGGTTTTGAACTCCTGACCTTGAGCGGTCCTCCCGCCTCGGCCTCCCAGAGTGCTAGGAACAATCCCACTTCTTAATGCTATTACAATGGCAAATAAATTTCAATATGGCTTCTGGAGGGTACAAACATTCAAACCATGGCAGTAGGCATACAGGTGTCAGCCCTGAACAGTCTGAATGGCTTGCCCAACACCTGGAATGGAACATGCAGCCTGGGCCGGATTAGCATTGTGTTCTGATCAATTATGCTGATGTTTCTGAGGACAAATGGCCTAGAATATGTCATCGGTTAAATATTTTCTCCTCCAAATTCAGGTCTACCCAGAATCTCAGAATGTGGACTTATTTGGAAATGGGTCTTTGGAGGTGTATACTTACTTAAGATGAGTAATGCATCCAGAAACGAAAAAACCACCAACCACCTCCAGAAGTAAGGAGAGGCATCGGACAGATTCTCCCCCAGAGCTTCCAGAAGAAATCAACATTACTGATATGATACTTTGATTTCAGACATCTAGCCTCAGAATTATTAGATAATAAATTTCTATTGTTTTAAGCCACCCAATTTGATGTACTTTAATATACTAACCCTAGCAGGCTACTCTAGAAAGTAAGGTGATGTTACAAGAAGCAACTATTACAGGCTTTAATGTAGTGTAGCTATGGCATCTATCACCAGGTTAATTGCCAGAATCTTCTACTCTGGCATCCTCGCCCAAAGTTCCCTTCCTCTGAGAGTCCCATGCGTGCTTTTCCCAAAGTGTCAGCTCAATCAAAAAGAATGACATTTCCAAACTGACAAAGTCTATTTTTAGTCCAGGTATGTGGGGAGCTGGCTATAGCTTTCCAACAAGCACTGACATCCCTTTGGAAGCAAATGTAGGTTAGCCAAAGTTGTTGTACAAAGTGCCTCTCTCTCTGCCCGATATTTTGTTATAGTATCAGTGAAATCATAGCTCCCTATCAATTTCACAGAGAGCAAGTAAATTTATAACATTAAACTTATAGAAGCCTTGACCTTGATAAAATTCTAGTCATTCAAAGGCAAAAGCATTGTATTTTCCCTGACATTACAGCTGAACAGTTACCCTTTCCAATGTGACTATAATAGTAGAAACTGAAAATATTTATGTTTATTTTTTTTTATTTTTTTATTTTTTGAGACAGAGTGTCATTCTGTTGCCCTGGCTAGAGTGAGTGCCATGGCGTCAGCCTCGCTCACAGCAACCTCAATCTCCTGGGCTCAAGCGATCCTCCTGCCTCAGCCTCCTGAGTAGCTGGGACTACAGGCATGTGCCACCATGCCCGGCTCATTTTATATATATATATATATTTTTTTTTTTTTTTTTTTTTTGAGACAGAGTCTCACTTTGTTGCCCAGGCTAGAGTGAGTGCCGTGGCATCAGCCTAGCTCACAGCAACCTCAAACTCCTGGGCTCAAGCGATCCTCCTGCCTCAGCCTCCCGAGTAGCTGGAACTACAGGCATGTGCCACCATGCCCAACTAATTTTTTCTATATATATATTAGTTGGCCAATTTTTTTCTTTCTATTTATAGTAGAGACAGTGTCTCGATCTTGCTCAGGCTGGTTTTGAACTCCTGACTTTGAGAAATCCACCCGCCTCAGCCTCCCAGAGTGCTTGGATTACAGGCGTGAGCCACCGGGCCCGGCCTCTCTATATATTTTTAGTTGGTCGATTAATTTCTTTCTATTTTTAGTAGAGATAGGGTCTCACTCTTGCTCAGGCTGGTTTTGAACTCCTGACCTTGAGTGATCCTCCCGCCTAGGCCTCCCAGAGTGCTAGAATTACAGGCATGAGCCACCACGCCCGGCCTATTTTACTTTCTTATTGAAATATTATTTATCCTATAAAGCAAGACTCTGAATGTTAAGGTGAAATGTCATGAATCTCATTGAAACTTCCCCTTTGGAGGTTCTGTAATGGAGTCTATTGAAATAAACTGATGATAAACAGATTAACAGGAGAAAGGCATGCCAATGTAGTAAAACACGCATGTGTGAGCAGGAGTCACACAGAATATGAGATTCAAGGAAGGGGCACATGGTTGAAGTTTAAATACCCTCTTTGTATGGGAGAGGGAAGGAGGGGATGTGGGCAATTTTAGAGGAAGAGTAAATGATTTTTAGGGAAAAAGCATGGGACCAGGGGACAGAAAATAGCCTGGGACCAAGTTCCTCTGGGTTCTGGGAGAGGTAGCAACAAATTATGGGAAGGGGAGGGGCAGAAGTGTACTGTGGACAAACAGTGATACAGCCTGTCAGGTTAAAAAAGAAACGTTTTCCAGACAAGTATAGGAAGAATAGCCTGTCTGGGTGTGGTGATGACTTTTGATTTTCTCTCTGGTGATTAATCTTCCTTGTGTTTTTGATGAGAGGAGGTTTGAGACAATTGCATTGCTTTTGGAAGAACTTCCCTGGGTCAGATTAAGAGCACTTGAGAGAGAGCCCCTCCCTGCCCATTGAAATCTGGGAGCAGCTGGACGCGGGCAGAGAGAGACCTCAATTCTGAGGCCTTTCAATCTCCTTTGTTCTAAGCACTCAGCATATTTTGGAGTATTGTTTTCTGAGCCCCAACGTTGTCTGTGGAGAGGACCCAGGAAAATCAATCATCCTACAGAAAACGAGTTCATTCCTTTATTAATTAAAAGGAAATCTTGGCACTTAAATGTTTTATTTTAAAAAGAAAAAAAGCTCAACATTATATTGCAAAATGAAATGGAAACTGTTCGTTTTGATCAGTTACAGAAATGGAAAACCACTTATGTAAGTAAATTTCCTAAGGGAGATACTCTGACCCTAGGTCAGCCTCTGAATCATCCAGTGAACTTGGATGATCTTGCCGAATCTAGGCTACACAGACAAGGATATCTTGAGTGTCTAGGGCTGGCATCAAATTGAACTCCAAATACATTTTAATTAGGGATCAACTGGACAACTCTTGATAATTTCACGGAATGGCTAACAGTTGCTGCAAATTAGAAGCTACCTTGTTTATGTCTCATCCAGTCTTTGAGAAGAGATTGCCAATTATTTATTTATTTTTGAGACAGAGTCTCACTTTGTTGCCCAGGTTAGAGTGAGTGCCAGGGCGTCAGCCTAGCTCACAGCAACCTCAATCTCCTGGACTCAAGCAATCCTCCTGCCTCAGCCTTCCAAGTAGCTGGGACTACAGGCATGCGCCACCATGCCTGGCTCATTTTTTCTATATATATATTAGTTGGCCAATTAATTTCTTTCTATTTATAGTAGAGACGGGGGTCTCACTCTTGCTCAGGCTGGTTTCGAACTCCTGACCTCGAGCAATCCACCCGCCTCGGCCTCCCAGAGTGCTAGGATTACAAATGTGAGGCACCGCACCGGCCTGCCAATTATTCGTTAAATTATTTTGATATCAACTTTGGGGAGCTACTAGTTTTTGTAATATTCAGAAAAATCCTTTAAGAAACATAGATGACAGGAGGCTGGGGCAGGAGGATCACTTGAGCTCAGGAGTTTGAGGTTACGGTGAGCCCTGATTGTGCCAGGTACGCTCCAGCCTGGGTGACAGAGGGAGACCCTGTCTCTAAAAAGGAAAACAAAGAAACATAGACAGAATGTTCGGTACAACACCAAAACGAACACATTTCCAGCTAACACAGCCTCTTTGCAAGCTGATTCTAGAAACATAAGAAGCCCTGACATGGGTGTTTGGGAAAAGAGAAGCAGGAATTAGCAGTACCAGGCTGTAGGAAAAGAATGGGGAGTTTTTGTGGGTTACCTTTTCTGTTTCCTCTTCTCCTCTTTCCTTCCTTCTTTGCCATTTGGAGTCCCACACAATTAGATCACCATTCTTAACTTTCTTTTCTGATCATCCATCCCGGTTGAGAATCTGATGGAAGTTATGCATGATGCAGGTACTCAAACAATTATGAGCACCATTCCAGGAGCATTTGTGGATTTTCTGCATCTAGGGATAGAGTTAATGCATTGCTCTTCCCTCATTAGGAACCTTTGCCTCAACCCCTCCACCAAATCCTTCCAAAAAGGGATCTAATGAATTCATTCATACTAAAATACAAATAAAGCTTAAAGTTTGGCCATTCTCTCCTAGAAGAGAATTTTAACCGAAGTGACTTCACCACTGTGTTATGTGGGAATAGCATTTTAGCCCCTAAGAACATCTTCCTGATGGCCCAAAATCAAACACTCATATAAGAGAAGCTTGATTTAGAATGCCCACCCTTCAACCCAACTCAAAATATATCAAACTGAATTCATTTTTCCCCCAGAAAATTAATTCCATTTTCATTGCCTTCATAATCTAGGTTCAAGAATCTTGGAGTTAGATTGATTCTGGACTCTTCTTCTCCTATCCAATCAATCATCAAATACCACCATCCATCATCTTTTTCTTTATGATGTCTTTCATATCCATCCCTTCCTGTATGTATTAGACGAGTATTGCTGCTGTAACAAATTTCCACAAATTTAGTGGCTTAAAACAACACAGATTTATTCTTTTACAAATTCTGGAGGCCAGGAGTCTGAAATGAGTCTTTCGGGGCTAAAATCAAGCTATTGACAAGGCTGGTTTCCCGCTAAAAGATCCAAGAGAGAATCCATTCCTTGCCTCTTCCAGCTTCTAAAAGTTGCCCATATACTTTAGCTCATGGCCAAATCACTCCAGTCTCTAGTTCCATAGTCACATCAGCTTCTCCTATAAAGACCAATGTAATGTGATTACATTGGGCTCACCAGGACAATCCTTCCCATCTACACATCCTTAATCACATCTGCACGTAAGAAAACATCTTCCCACGTTCTGTGGATTAGGCCATGGACATCTTTGGGGAGCAGGGGCATTATTCAACCTACCACACTCTATTATCACCTCTTCCCTGACCCTACTTCTGATTTTTGTCTGTACCCCTGGACAACTTCAGCGTTTTCTAAACTGGCTTTCCTGACCCCAGCCTCTCTCCCACTTCCCCTGTCCATTCTACATACCAATGACAAATATTCATCGAAACTTAGTTCTTTGTTCTGTTCCCCACATCCATTCCAAGGCCCTGACCCTAGCTTACTTCAGCCTGGCCTTGGTCACTCTTGTCCAACTGATCTCCACATTCTCCCCCTACCTACATAAACCAATTATTTGTTCAGATCACACCTTTTTTCTTCCTAATTCCTCCCATTATGCTAAAGTCTGACAAAGTCCTAAATGTCATCTTCCTAAATGTCATCTCAACAGTTCTGACTTGCAATGGTTTCTACTTTCTTTGACTTCCTACAGCACTTTTTGTTGAGAATCTGATGCCTCATACTCTTTCGGGCATGGATCCTATCTCTACAATGTTTCCACTATATGGACTTAGACTATTTTCCTTTCCCATGCCTCTGCTTCCTTGTCTCTAAAACTGATAATATTCATGCCCTAATCATAGGATTGTCACAGGGTTCAAAGAGATAACAATGCATTTAAGATACTTCGTGTGTAGTTCTCAATAAATGTTAACTCCTCCTTTTTCTTGTTATTTTCTTTAGTATATAACCTAACCCTATATAACCCTTTAGTATATAACCTGTATCATTTGCTTTGTTAAAAATTCCTTGAGGGCTCGGACTATTTCTTA